AAATGTTTTATTTATCATTCAACGTTCTTTAGGTTTTACTATATGCGAATTTGTGTTTCAGTTTGTTTTTACGGATTGTAATATACGTTTAAAATTTATGAAATATAATAAATTACTTTTTTTTTTTATAAAATCTTGTATATTTATATATAGTAATTTGATTTTCTTTCACTTTTTTTTTAATAAAAATAATTTTTTTTTCTTCTTTTGAACCCCTTTGAATATCACCAATAAACACACTATAATCAAAAAAATCTAATTGAGTCTCAAAGATTAAACAACTAAAAAAATTAATCTTAACTTATTGTTAATGAAACCCAACGAGATTTACCAATAAACATGCTCTAAGCTCTCGAGCTGCCAATCGGTTTCGGTCTGAAACCTATCTTTGTTGCTTTCAACATATTATTTGGGTATTTTATTTATAATAAGATGTGATACTCTAGATTAGATTAGAGACCAGCATCCGTGCTTATGCCAAGCTATTTGGTAACATCTTTTAAATTTATGGTGTTTTTTTCATTTCGTTTTGTATGTGTTTGATCCATATTCGAGCTTTTTAGTTAGGTGCCTAGGGGTCTTTAGCTCAACCTGAATTCATAGTTAGCTCCTAATGTTCCCTAAGAGCTCTTGTTGACTTCAATTTCTACTAGTAGACTTCAGAGGCAGTCTCTGCTTAGCCCATGACTCAGTTTACAAACAATACATGTCAGTTTTGTCTGAATTCTACTGATCTCAATGTGATATACATTAGGATTGTGTAATTTTTCACTTGATCCAGTCTCAAAATTCAAATTTGCAGTAGGGTTCATACTTGCCTAAAAACATATTGGCACAAACACGTTAACAACAGCTCTGAGTTATATAACATTTGATCATCATTCACAAAAAGACTTGAATCATTTCTTGCTAGTATGTTGCATTAGCTACCGTAACCATTGTCATCACGGTAGACTGCTCTGCTTTGAGCCAAAGCTCGTCCTTTTGGACAATCTTCTGCATCCAAGTCTATCTCAAATTCGATTCAAAAGCAAATGAAATTGTGGATAGGTTTTATTTTGCCTCTTCTTTTGAGGTTTCTCTTTGCTAC